TTGTAATGACTAACTACTCCTGACATTTTGGATGTTAGCTCTTTATACAGTAAAGTTACAGCGGGATACAAATAACATCAGGCTGATTCTGCTACGATTTGTTCCCCCGGTTCAGCAACATTTTTCTTGTAAAACAAAGGGGGGCGCTGCAAAAAAAGTTTGGGAACCACTGATTTAAGACATTTAAGAATAATTTAGATGGAGAAACTAATTTCTGAGACCGTCCATCACACACAAACCTGCAGATGTCCAGATCAGCTGAGAGATTATCTTTCTGGATGTAAAGCTCTTTTTTATCCTTCAGCAGACAGATGACATCCACGAACTCAATCACAGGGTCCTCATCGTCAGCTACATCCAGCTGGTGGCGAATGTATAGCTTGCCCACCTGTGAATAATCAGACAGAAACAAAAGAGTGCATATTTGTTGTCTTTGTTTTCATGCTTTCTTCCTTTCAGAGCTTTAGGTGTTGTGGATATATTCTCCTTACTCCTACAAGAAGACTCTTAGGAGGAAAAAATAAGACAAATTAGGGTTGAAAATTCCTTCAGATTTATCCTCTTACCTGTCCAAAGGAGAGGTGCTTGATTTTTCCTGCTATGTTTTGTTCAGTCAGCTCTGAATAGACTTCATTCAGTTCGTCATGGTGATAGAGAAACCTCTGAATGTAGGGAACAATCCAGCGCACCAGGCTCTGCATGGACGGACAGGGCCTCAGGACCTCAGTCAGAGGCTCACTCTTGACACATTCGGAGAGATGATGAATACCACAGATCTCCAGAAACAGTTGTCTGTCTTCCTCATTGAATGCAGTTCGGTCTGCCGCGTCTATTAAGAGAAAAAAAACATAAAAGTATCAATCACAGTATATTCTAACACAAACAATAAAAATGTAAAAGCACCATACCAGAGGTTCCTGTCTTGTTCTTGAGCACTGTCTTCTTCTCTGGTGGGGGCAGGTTGAGCAGACGCACCTGCTTATGAGGTTTGAAGATCTTCTCCAGCTCTTTGCTGTCACTGATCATAGGCTTATGTGCCAGACTCACCCAGTTGTTATTCTTAGTAGGGAAGACCTTCTTATCAAACACCATCCCTATCAGACATGCACACAACCATAGAAATCAGACACGTAACACATAAACAGCAAAGGTACACATAGAATAAGCTGTAGACATTTAGCATGACTTTTTTTCTCATTGTACTACAAAAACTTCAAATCAAATCAAATCACTTTTATTGTCACATCACATGTGCAGGTACACTGGTACAGTACATGCGAGTGAAATTCTTGTGTGCGAGCTTCACAAGCAACAGAGTTGTGCAAAAATTACAATAACATAAAACAAGCAAAATATAAGAATGGCTAAATCTGAGACTAATAAATATATGTACAATATATAATAGTATATGCTTTACTGGATGTGTATACTAGATATGTTTTTCTACGTGTGTGTGTGTGTGTGTGTACATATTTTACAAATTAAATAGAGTAAGCAATAAAATATATAAAATATACAGAGGTTTGTAGTTGGATATTGTGCAAAACAGTGGCATTAATGTACAGTATGTAGTGCATAATGTTGAAGTTCCAGTAGTGGAGGTGAGGTGTCTATGAAGTGTTCAGCAGTCTGATGGCCTGGTAAGGTGTTCACACTAAATGCAGATTTCGATTTAGCATTTCGTCTCCCTTCCACTCATTTGAAGCTAACCATCTTTTGGTTGCCCCTGCAAAAAACTATTTTCAATGGCAGGTGGGCGGGACTTCTGTGCTGACCATATAAAACATATCTGCGGTCAGCATCATATAGACACAAAAGTAGAAAGAACTGCCCGATGTTGACCGTTAAGTTGGTTCTCTGTGTGCTCATATTTTAATGATTTATGATGCAAGTTGCAGCAATCTGCACCAAGGTTTTTACTTTAATTGACTGCTTTATTAACTTTGACACATGCTGTTGTAACTGCTGACCATACTGGTGATCCAAACTGCCATAACAACTTTCCATCATTTTAAGAACACTAGCATGCACCCATGTCTTTTACCTCACACAATATCTTTGCGTCACATCTTTCACCTGATGCATACATTCAGCTTTCTGCACGAAGGATCTGCCGAGTATTTATATTGTTTTAAGTTTATCATCTGAATAAATATTTTTCCGCAGGTACTACAAGAGTATTGCTAAATGGAAAAAATATAAACATTCCCACTCCAGACAGTGCAGTCTGACTGTCTTCAGTCCCAAGTTCAAAATGCTTTAATGCTGCAGCAACAAATTCATCCCAGCTGCATTTAAAGCATGCGGCACACTGACAAATGGAAGATAATGCTGGATTTCCAACAGAAATTCTGTGTGAACAGGTAAAGAAAAGTGCGTTGTTTTTGGAATAGATACATGACTCACCTTTCAAAGTGGAGCAGTAACTGTCATTAAGTTTGGACTGAGGATTTCTTTCCTGGTCTCTGGACATTTTGGACTTACAGGTTTTAGCTGTTAAAACAAATACGACATTGCATTAAAATATTTTATGCAAAGAAAAACAGAGGAAGGATCAAGTATCAAATTAAGCTAGTCAATGGAGAGACTATTGAGCAGGAAATAATGAGCTGCAGGCAGATGGGACATCAACAGTAAACAAATGTATGAGTCAATGAAAGAAAGGCAATATAAATGTTCTCACCAAGTCTGGCATAGAGTATCGAGACATCCTGTAGCACTTCAGCAGTTGGTATGGGACAGGAGGAACAGATCAGTTCCAACAAGCCAACATACTGGTTCATGTTGGGGTCGTTTTCCACATTCAGCAGCTATGCATGAGAGAAAGAAATGCAGACACAAAGAGTTGAATTAGTATTAGTATTATTATTAGTATATAGTACTGCATTTTTGTTAACAGTCGGTCCTCCTTTATCTTTTTTTAACTCAATTTGATTTATATAGTGCCAAATCACAATTCATTCAAGGTGCTTTAAATTGTAAGGTAAAGACCCTAACAGAGAAAACACGGAAGTCATATGATCCTCTCTGACAGGGGTGTCACCAAGGGGCGGCCAAGGCAAGCACTGGCTGCCACCTAAAATTTGCTTCCCCCCTCTGGTAAGATGGTCCTCTGTTTGTAATAATTCTAATACACATGAGCATAAGAGAAAGGAAGACAGCCTACAATGATTTGAGACATTGACTGCCTATTTTCAGTGATATCATCTTTAATAGCAAGAAATTAACTAAGCATATAATTATTTTCTTTCTCTCTTTTTTGTCAGATTTTTTCTAGAAACCTAAATTTGACAACAGCATAATACATCTGGAGATTCTGTTGGTGTGCCACCCCAGTGTTTTTAGTTGCCCCATATGGCACCACTAGGGCACCCCTGCTGTATGAGCAAGCGCTCTGACAACAGTCAGAGCAAGCCATTGTTTAAATGGCTAACTAGCTAGCCAATAAAGTTTTATTTAGCACAATCAGTATTTGCTATGTAGGAATAATGGAGCTGCTTTACTTTAGTTATTAAGGAAATCTGAAGACAAATCTACAATAAAGCAGACAATTGTGATGAAAATTCCCACTCTGAAATTTTATAGGCAATACTCAAAAATAAAAATCCAATGGCTCTCTAGCCCAAACACAATACAACCATACAATCCTCCAAACAACTACCCTCTAGGTGAACTACAGCCAATTCTAGCACAAGAACAGTAACAGAAAGTTTAAGACTTTTAAATGGCTTTTTAAAATTAATCTGAGTTTGTATACAATGACATCTTAGTTATACCAGGAAACCTGACAGTTGCACCCCAAATGCTAAGTACACCAATGGACACCCAGACTGATGGGAAGTAAACAACCTCTCTGTAGATAATCAGTAGGTCATATTTTACACTCCGAGAAAGAAAAATCATGTGAGCTTTGTTTTTTGAAAAACAACATTGAATCCATACCATAATACCATTCAGTATCCTCAGAACTAACTCAGAGCATGGCTACACAATCTGTCATCACACTGGTCTCACTGTGCTGAATAAAACCTGCTTTCTTGTTAACTTAACAGAAGCAAATCTGCATTATTCTCATGTATTGATTCAGTGCTTTTACTGATTGAAAGTAAAGCTGAAAAGCTGACAGTGACATCAAAGGGAAAAAAAAACAAAACAAAAAGAAACCGTATATGTTTCTTTTCTTCTTTAATAGGGCAGCTTACCCTGACGAAGAAGTCTTTCATGTCTTCCAGACGGTTATAGAAAGGAGCCAGCACTTTGGGCTCCTGTACAGGGCTGTCTTTTCTAGGTATGAGGTCTTTGTAGCGCTGGAACATGTTTGTTGGGTCACTCCAGCACACCTCTTTCAGGTGGTAGAACCGTCCAGTGCACCAGTTATCACTGTGCCTGAGGAAACAAAGTACTGCTTGTGGCTTTCAGGTACTTTGAGAATAATCTGAAAAGGTATGCTGAAAATGATGATAATGTACCTTTTGTACTCTATAAACACAGCAGGTGTATGCTGGAAGAGCTCCTTCAGGCTGCTCTGAGAACAGTTTTGTTGCAGGTAGGTGTAGACGTTGTGGATGTGCTGAATTGTGGAAGTGAATTTTCCCCTTTCTGACTCATCCTCAGGGAGCCTCTGCTCCTGGACATCTTCCTCTGGTTTGACGCACCACTCTTTCAGATAGTTAATCAGAACATCCACTGAGATTGTTTCTCTCATCCCTACAAGAGCAGGAACACAGTTACAGACTCCTTTACAGGACAACCAACAAGAATAGCAATGGACAAAAGTAATCTCCACCGTAAAAGACACATTTTTACCAAGAGCTCTGCTGAAGTCGCTGGAGCTAATGTCCACATAGTCGACATGGGTCCCCAGCAAGTTGGTGACTTCAGGTGATGACAGGTAGACAGAGCTCGGACAGAGGTACTTTCTTTCCAGCTGGCCTCCTTGTTTTGGGCGATAGGCTGGCACCCATTCAAGACGACACAAGGAATGGTAGAAGGAAGACTTGGTGCTTTTGATTGGTTGCCCATCACTGTCGATCACCTGGGCTGTGAGGTACTGAGAGTAGCAATGTCTGAAAGAAAGAGAAAGACTGTTTGAGATGTTTTCAACCCACTTCTACAGTGGATTGAAAACACCACAAGTTACAGACTGTCCCACGTGACACCATTAATGTGGGGTCATTACAGTGCATGGTTGACAATTCTCCAGCTGTCCTGATTTAATGACTCAGAAAAGTGACAGAAGTGTGTGACCTACATTCTCAGCAGCATTGTGAGATAAATATACAGATACATTTTCACCAACCTGATCAGTGCAATAGATAGCAGTTAAAAAATAGTATTCTCTGAGTCAGTCTCATGTATGCTGTGGAACACTTTCCCCATCCTGTTACCCTGTAGAAGGTAGATATTGTTGCTTAAGCATTTTCCACGTGCCTTTATGGGAATTCTCCCACCTATGGGTGCTAAACATCCTCGGGCAAGATACTAACCCCAAGTTGCTCTCCGAAAAATCCACTGGAATGTGTGAATGTTAGATATGGGTGAATGAGGCAAGTTGTGTAAAGCGCTTCGAATGCTCAGATAGAGTAGAAAAGCTCTATATAAGAACCCGTCTATTTACTGTTTTAATGGTTTGAGATGACTTTTAAACTTTTCCAGCTGAACTGAGCTTCTTGTCTTAAAGTGATGTTAAACTGATGCATTCATAGGTGTGTGAGATTGTGTGTATAGCATAAAATTAATAGAATAAAGCACTGCATGAATAATAAGTAGGTAAACATGGCTAGAAAAGTGATTTATAAATGCCAGTCTATTTAACTTTCTTTATTAAAGTGGACCTACTATGCAAATTTCCAGCCATTTGGACTTTACTAGACTGACTTTGGATAATTCATCATTCAAAAAATCTTACATTTTTTTTCTTACATTGGGTCTTGGTGAAGCCCCTCTGTTCACCTACTTTCTAAAATAAACTGTTTTGCATTTAAGCCAGCTTTCATCTGGTTGGCTGCCCTTTCATGATCAGAAATGATATCACCATATTAGGGTTATCCACTCACTGACATCATGAATTCAAAATCCTGCTCCTCACATACAAGGTCTTAAATAATCAGGCCCCATCTTATCTTAATGACCTTGTAGTACCATATCACCCTA